TTGGAGTAGAATGGACACTTCTCAGAGTGCACCAGAACCTCTCTTTGGTGTTGTTTCTTGGTGTGGTGTTGGTGTTGACTTGTGTAGTGTTTATTCTGGGATGATGGACTCCCTCAGAGTATATCTTTGCATTAAGTCTGTCTGGTCCGCATCGATCTTAGGTTTCGATTCGTCATCAGATAGGCCGCGCCTTCTCATTGGTTTAATGCAGCCTCGTGACCCTCGGCTTTTTGAAAATATTCTCCAGGAAAAGCGCGACCGTGACCGTTTCAGATTGATGCAAGAGTTATACATCCATGGATCGAACACGGCAATATTTCTCCGCAGGACTGTAACTTTAGGTAAGTAGACGCCAAGTGAATAATTCTGAATATTCATATTTGTCTTCTTGTTTTAATTTGTATAACTAAACAACTAAAAACGATAACGTTAGCAAGTAGAATATTTGTGACGTTATTGTAGTGGTAACGGTAGCCGTAGTCAATCAGATTAACGTTATTCTGACAACGAAATATGTATTTCTTTGCTATTTTAGCTGCCGCTCCCGTGTTAATTGTTAGGCTTCATTCACACTGACTCAGGGGGAAAACCGCTCCTCTTTCCAATCATTCGACAGGGGGTAACGTTACGGGAGTGCAGCAGCGGCCTTGAATACATGTTTTTTTAATCCATAATCAACTCTAGTCTGCAGGCACCGTTTGAAATAAAGAGACCGTTAATGTTAGCAGCTGTTAGCTTAGCTACCGCCAATTTAGGTTACTCATGTAGAATGAATAATTTTGAAGCTCTCGCCTCCCGCCTGATATAACCTGCTGTTAACAATTAACCTCTTAAGCCCTGAGCCTGTTTTTCAGGTCTCAGGCTCGAAAATGACATTCCCAGAACAAATGACCATATCTTCCCTTCTAAAAGGGTTAAATTAATCATCTTTTGTCTCAAAGTAATGATAAACCTGTGAGTTGGATGTAGAAAAGTCAGAATCAATATAGATGTTTTTTATTTTAAAGAAAATTCAGATTTGACATAGTAAAAAACTGTAAATTATAGTGTCCGTCCAAAAATTATTTTTTACTTATAGTGAAAACCACCCTTGGATGATGGGTTAGTAGACTAAAAGCTTTAGGAATCCAAAGTACAACATATAATAAGTACCCTGTATCAAGATTGATGCAAAACAAGTGACATTTGACTTTTTTAGAGAGATTTAGCAAAAAGAAACCACTTCTAGGGTCATTTGGGTGGATTTTCCATATCTCTGGCCCCCCTTGCTCGATTTTGATGGTTGACACCTCTTTCTGACCGTTAGAGCCAATAGAATCGAAGGGGGAGTCCCCCACACACACACACGTTGTGAAGAGAAAAGGTGGGGGCTTCGCGCATGTAATTTTCCATCAGAGTGAACCTATCTCTAGCTTTGACATCTGGAAACGGAAAAGCAGTTTTAATGCTTTTGGATTATCAGAAATCATTTCAAAGGGACACAGACACATTAGATTAACCTATGGATTAACTTCAGCAGCGTTTTTATCGTTTTAATGCCATTGAAGACCACTTTGGAGAGACTACAGAGCCAAGGTAAAAATATTAGCATTTTTAGCTACCTAGCGTCACCTGTTTTGATGTCCGTTTTTGCTTATAACGTCGCAAATACGTATAATTCAGTGGTAATGTCAGTGTCAATCGATTCTGTGTCACCTCACGATGTGAAACGATGTGTTGGATGTGCAGAAAAGATAAATAATAAGGTTTTGTGAGTGATTTTCGGTGCAGTAAGGTGTTAGCACTTTTCGCTCGTTGCTAATTCAGAGGCTCAGTGTTAGCATTGTGGGTTTTCTTTTGAAAAAAAAAAAAAAAATTATCAGTTAGATGAGTTTCTTCCCGTTACATGGATATAAAACATTCATAGTTTTATTAAATGAACATGCCCTCAGATACTGTTTCCTGCAAGATGTTGCGGCAGTGCCCCGGTACCGGGGTCTCTCGGGCTTAACAGGTTAAGTCTAACTTCGCACTACATTTGGTACTGTACATGTGCAATAGACCAATTCCAGTTGTGGAGGAAGTTTTCATATGATTTAAGTTAAGTAAAAGTACAAATACCACCCTGTGAAAATACTATAAGTAAAAGGCCTGCACTTAAAACCTGACTTAAGTAAAAGTATGTGAGTATAATCAGCTAAATGTACTTTAAGTATAAGTAAAAGCACTCATTGTGCAGTGAAATTGTCCCTGTCAGTGTTTTACTATTTTTGGGATGCTTTTAGGTTTTATATTACTGCTGCATTAATGTGTATGTTGCATTGACATTTGACTTCTGTCAACTTCTGGTAATGGCCGAGCTGATCTGATTTGCTATCAAAGGTTTTTGTCAGTGTCTGACCCATCCATCAAAATATGATGTACAGTGTAATTATATTTGTGTTTATTGTTATCTTACAGTCATCTCCAGCCTTCAGGAGTACTCTGGTCCAGTGGAGGCAACCCTACATCCTAGCAGTTGGGACCACAAGAAACAGTACTACTGAGTACTACATTGCGTTGGATGGTGAGCTCCTTCCCTGCAAGGCCAAGTCTTCCCTGTCAGTTTTGATGAACTTTTTAAAGCACATTATGTGTTTGGGATCTCCTATGACCAGGCCTTAAACGGCATGTACACATTTCTGCAGACCACCATCTACAACATTGATGTAAACTGGTTGCCATGTACACTTTTAGATGTTGATCATCCTGCTCGGTGATTGTTAGTCTTTCAAAACACTATTTTTGTCAGTTTACTTTGCACATTAGCACTAGTGTATGGTATTCCATGTTGTCCATTTGTTGTAACAGGATTTTAAAGCGTTTCCCCAGGCTAAAGAGGCCTAATGACCAATGTATTTTGTGGGTTGTTTGATGTATACTGATTAGATGTTATATTTAAAACACATCAAAATCACATTTTTGAAAATAAACGCATGTTTTCAAGAATCTGATGTGTACTTTATTTCCTGAAGTATTAATGATTCACCCCAAAATTGTTTGTTTGGTGTACATCAGCTAAACACTGAAACAGTGTGAAAAATTACCATGGAGTACATTTTCTCTCTCAAAGTGTTGAATAATCAGCTCTGCAGTGACACTAAAAGACTAAGAGTACATTTGTAACTCTCTGAGGGTTCTAGGTATACACTGAACGTCTTGGAAAGCACTCAAACAGTGTCAAAAAAGTACCAGTTATAGTTTATATTTTGACACCCAAAGTGTTCAAATCTAACTCTTTATTTGGAGTTTATATTTTAATCTTTTGACAGTGTTCAGAGAACACCAAACTCTTGGACCTATATAAACCCTGAAACTGGTGTTAAATGTACTCTTATAGAGTACAATGTACACTGTGATTTTTGCAGTGTAGAGTATATTTTGACTCCCAAAGAGTTCAAATCGAACTCTTTATTTGGAATTTATATTTTACACTGTTGACAGTGTTCAGAGAACACCACACTCTTGGACCTATATACACCCCGAAACTGGTGTTAAATGTACTCTTATAGAGTATAATGTACACTGTGGTTTTTGCTGTGTGTGTGTGTGTGTGTGTGTGTGTGTGTGTGTGTGTGCGTGCGACAGTGTTGTAGTCAAGTCACCAATTCACGAGTCCAAGTCACTCTCGAGTCACCACTCTTCGAGTCCGAGTCCAAGTCCGAGTCACCAAGGGAGAGTCGTAGTCGAGTCCGAGTCCAAGTCCGAGTCACCCAAGGAGTGTCAGAGTCAAGTCCGAGTCCGAGTCATCATTATCTGTGTTCGAGTCCGAGTCCAAGTCCGAGTCACCCAAGGAGTGTCCGAGTCGAGTCCGAGTCCGAGTCATCATTACCTGTGTTCGAGTCCGAGTCCAAGTCCAAGTCCGAGTCACCTAAGAAGAGTCCAAGTCAAGTCCGAGTCACAAGTCTTCATGTATTAATCTTCGTGGATATATGTGTTGAAATGTAGCTGCTCCTCTACATTGCTTTTATCCTGTCATGTTATACTAATCTGTCTATTGAACTGCTGTAAAGCGAGTTTGGCTACAATTCTTGTAATAGGTGCTATACAAATATAAAGCTTATTACTAATATTAATATTATTATTATTATTATTATTATATATAAATAAACTATGTTTAAAATTAGTTACTTTTAGAGAAGTGATTATATTTGTATGCCAATATTTTCCTATGGTAAAGTTTTCGTTTTGCACTTTTATTTTGAAAGTAATAAGATCGGGACTCTTATTTTGAAGGAACTTTTACCGGTTAAATCGGTATACTGATAAAGATTTAGCCCCAGAAAGCACATGGCTACTTAGCATACAAAATGACGTCATTCTGCATGTTAAGTAGCCGTGTGCTTTCATGTTATCGGCTGAATCTTTATGTATTGATTAGATCACGTTACTCTGATGATAGTGTTCAAGACAGCCTATATGTCTGAACTCGATGTTTAGAGCAATGTGTTACGGAGCCTTCTCTTCAATATTGTTTCCACATAGAGCATTTTGCGCTGCTCTTTTCCAATGTGGAAGCAGAATGTGTGAAAGCATACAGCACGATGCGGGGTGTGTCTCTAGACATCTTTAGACTGGAATAGCAGGGCCCAGTACGTGAACTCGCCTCGCAGCCGGTGCACACGCCAGGATAGAGGGCATCAGACTCCATAGAAAACTTGCTCGAGTCCGAGTCCGAGTCCAAGTCGGAGCGTCAATGTACAAGTCGAGTCCGAGTCATCGTGGGGGGAAAAATTCACGAGTCCAAGTCAGCGTACGCGATAATTCACGAGTCCGAGTCCGAGTCCAAGTCATCGTGTGCGAGAATTCACGAGTCCAAGTCCGAGTCGCGTCAATCAGTGCGCGAGTCCGAGTCGAGTCACGAGTCCCGAAAATCGGCACTCGAGTCCGACTCGAGTCCGAGTCCAGGACTCGAGTACTCCATCTCTGGCGTGCGTGCATGTGCGTGCGTGTGCGTTCTGAGGCTGCTAAAGTTATCTTACCTGATGTAGGAGAGGAACGTCAGCAAGAACAGGAGACATGCTAAGACATCAGCCCTGCCGACGATACCAGACACCTGCAGCACACAAGGGTAAGGTTTTTATTAAAATCAACTACATTTGAGTGTACATGTGAGACCATCGAATAAACTCTACGGCAGAGTTAAAGTTACTCTTTTCTTGGAGTTGTTCTTTAACCCTTTTCAGGAGTTAAATCTGAACACTTAAGACTACTCCCATGTAGAGTAACATGAAACTACCACTTTAGAGTTAATTTGAATGTGAACTCTATAATAGTGTTAACGGTTAACACTTGAAAGCATGTTTATTTAACACTTATGGAGTTAAAATACAAAGAAATAAAAATGACTACAAAACAACATATTGATTCATACAAATGTTTAGCTTTTATTTGTAAAATCCAGCGAACAGCACATTTAGAGCAGTTGTGACATTTCAAATGAAACTAAACAATTAAATAAAAAAGAAATGTGCACAAAAGTGTCAAGTATTGCATAAACTCAGTACAATAAGTGCAAACATTATAGACAAACATGCTCACTACACGAAATAAAGCATTACAGAACTGCTCTGTATGAGGTAGACTAAATACTTTAAACCTGTAATTTAAGTACATATACATGTACACAAAAAGAAAGGAAACATTCCAATAAGCCATCAATGTTGGCAAATTAAATAATACAACTCTCTGACACAACATAAAAATGTGAATCACACCCATATGACATTTGGGAATCAAAAGGTTTGAAATGTCTTAATCCTTCTCTTTCTAGGACCAGTATCTTCCTGGGGATTTTTTCACTTATTTGGAAAGCATGAAAATGGTCATGGAAACAAGTTTCATACTCAACCAAAACAAAAATAACTTTTCCATTGTGAAGAATGATACAGATTATTTTGCTGAACACCGCATGTTTTCATCGGTGCTTGTACAAACAAAGAGGCCAAATCGACATTCAACTCCACAACACTTTACCCAGCTTGTGAGTTTGACAGTGGCTTGTGAATCAATGATGAGATAGGCAGATATATCTTCTGCTTATTCTTGCGTTTCAAGTACACACATTTTCACTTTTTTTTTTGGAATCAGGTTTGAAGGGTACAGTTCTTTAAAAGGTCGGTGGTGTTCAATGATAAGGTGCTTTAAATACACAGTCCTCTCTTCGGTGATAGAGTATGAGAACACAATGTTTATAATGTTCAGCAACAAGAGCAATAAGTGCCAGTGCAATTCATCCTCTGGTACCAAGTCACCAAATATCAGAGGTATGTTTGTGATCAAACACAGTGTTTGTGATGCATTTACCCCTATTCCATGAACTTTAAAGTCCAACTGACATCACATCTAGTCCTCCCTATTTGTAATGAATAATAATGTAAATGTGTTTTTCTTAGTGAAAATATCAGAAATTATCCCTTTTATCAGCAAGCTGCTGATAATAATTTAAGAACGTATTACCAGGGGTGTACATACCTGGTACGCAGGTGCGCATGCGCGCATGCGCGGCAAACATCTGAAATGTGTAACGTCACTTGTGTCACTAAGGATCCACTGTTGAATTTACCACATATTATATATTTTAGAAACCTGAAGGCATTTTAAGATTTGTATGCAACTATTATCCCAAAAACTCAGGACCGTACAACGGAATTGTGCCAAAACTACGCCAACTGGCTGCGGAGGGAGAATCCCCTGTGCACATTCTGTGCCCCGCACACACACTGGGAAATCAGCTCGCAGTTCGCAGTGCTCCACTAGCATTTCACCATTTTGCTGCTCGATGGTAAGACCTGGGGATCACAATTAACATCAATGATCCATATGGCCCATTATAACGAATCACACATTTTCCAGTTGCAATGTACCAAAACTTGAATTTACCGAAATCACAACTTGCACCATGAGCTACTGTATTTTATTATGAACATTTACTATAACCCGGCCTACCACAAGGTGTGATTGTCACGAATTCTGTCAGGTTGGAGCAGTCACCAAATTCTGTCAGGTTGGAGCAGTCGTCCAAGTTCTTGGATGATTCTGCTAGTGGGAGGTCTGAAATGCACATGATACATAGTTTACTGGGGAGAATGAACATACTGAATTCTGTGATTGGTGTTTGTTATTGGCTAGTACAGAATATCAAACAACCTGTCTCTTACAGATAGAAAATACAAATCTCTCAAAGCATTTCTGCAACAAAACAAAATCCAGAAATATCACCTTACCATAATCAGTGATGACAAAACATATGTCTTGGACTGTTGCAAGTTCAGGAAAGACATCCTCATCCACCTCTATGCCTTGCTCATCGGTGACTTTCAGCACTTTATTTTCCAGTGTTTCCCCTACCATTGTCTTGGAGGGGCGCTGCGCCCCGCCAACGGAGCCCCGCCAACGGAGCCCCGCCAACGGAGCCCCGCGCTCCCCCTGAAATTCAAGGTGTTTAAAAAAAATAATAATAATAATTTTTTTGCAGAAACTCCGTTCAAACATCAAAACGTTCAGCTCGGTCGGGAATCGATGGCTATTACTTTTCTCATTCATAACTTTCATAATTCCAGAGATACATCCCATAATTCATCACATTTTTAACCATTGAAGTCAATGGAGAAAATCACTCAGAAACCTCATTCCAACTTTAAAATGTTACACATCTTTCTGACATTATTCGTGTAACACAACTTTTAAATCCGATTCTTACTTTTAGAGATATTAAACATTGTTCAGACCTTGGTAAAGAGGCTTTCTTCAGATTTTAACATTAACTAGAGTGCGTGATGTCACAGCTAGAGGGTAGGAAATCTTGAAATTTGCCTTCATATTTTTTTTCAACTACCATAATTCCCAAACCCTACATTCCTGAGACATAATTTTTCATGACAAACGTAGGAAAACATCTCGTACTGTAGCTTGAAAATGACAAATAATTAAGCAAAATAAATAAACAAAATGCCTCTTGAGGGCATGAAGTGACAAAAACGTTCAACATGTCTCCATTAAAACCCATTGTAATTTCAGGCTAATATTTCCTCACAGCAGCACACCGTTAGTTAAACTGCCAAAAAGGCCACATTATTAACCCGAAAGTACACAAAAAATCT